CTTCTGGGATTGACTGTATAGCCAATACATCCCTAAGAACTTCTTGTCCAAACTATTTTGAATGGAAATTTTTATTATTTCTTATCTTTAACTAAAATTCATTTAACGTTTAATTTGTAGAGCTACCGAACTCGCAGCGGTCGTTTCTTTAGCGTTTCGACGGAGGACTCGAGCGTCGACTCCGAGGTCGGTAGCAGCAACACGCTTACGTCTGGCCGGAGCTCCGTTGGAGCTGCGGGGTTCAAGGCCAGCAAACAGCGTTGGAGCGGGTTCTTCATGAATACGAAAGGTACCAAGCTCGACTCGCTCACTGCACAGCTTGACGAATACGATAAACACGGCGTGCCGAAGCTAACGGACGGACAATTACCTTACGAGCTCACCCTTAACGAGGACGGTAAGCGATTTATTTGTTTAAATTCAGAGATAAGGATTACGCTGATGGTTTTTATATAACAAACTTATATTTGTACCCAATAAATTATCTTACAATGCAAAACATTTACGATATTCTTGTAACAATGATTGTTCTTTCTTTATACACCGTCAACGGTGTTTCCGGTTGGGTAAAGGTATTTCACAGTCTCGTTTGACGAATCCACGTACGATCTTCTAGTGGAAACAATCTCACCGGCTTCGAATTGCGAGACAGTCCAAGCTGAAACGATGCAAAGACATAGTTTAATTAAATATCGAAAATTAAACATTTTTGTTATAGGCTTGTACAATCTCGAAGAGGACTGGCGTGAAATCGTACAGAACTCGGATCAATTGCCAGAAAAGCAGCAGCAGCAGCAGACTGCTTTATGGGAACTAGCCCAGACAGAAGTGGCTTATATTAAGACTCTAAAAGTCGTTACTGACGTGAGTATTCCTGCGAAACTTTCTTTAATTTTTACAGATTTCTTATACGTTTCTCATAATTTTACACTCTCGATCGATTCTAGCTCTTCATGGCATGCCTCTGCAGCCTGCAATCCTCGAATATCCTGAACGAGGTCGACAGAACAAAACTGTTCAGCAACATCCCTGAAATCTACGCCGCGAACCGGTACTTCTGGACGGAGTACGTTCTATCGATGATAAATTCTTCGAGAACCACTAACCAACCCCTCGATCCCGGTCATCTTCTGCAAGGTTTCGAGACCTTCGAGCAAACGTTCGCGCCTTACACCAGATATTGCTCGGAGCAGAGCAAATGCCAACAATACTGCAGGGACCGACTTAACGATAATCAACTCTTCACGGTCTATCTGGTGGTAAGTTAAAAAAGTGATCGAAGAGGAAGAACCGAAATTCGCCGTAGGACACTTTTTGACAAAGACTGTTTGTTATCCAGTGGTGCGAAACTCAGAAAGATTGCAACCGATTGAAATTGCTCGACATATTGGTGAAACCTATGCAGAGACTGACAAAATATTCGCTCCTCTTGAAGGCTATTCACAAGAACACGGAGAACGAAGAGCAGCGAGCGGAATTGACACACATGGTAAGAACTATTATTCACTGACCTCTATGAAACCTTAAATAATGAATTAGTAGTGTTCTACAGAGATTAGTGCTGTTATTTTGCATTCGGTTGATGCTTATAAACTATGTTACAGATCAAATCCGTGGACGACTTTGTAGCTTCGGTAAACGCTGCTTTAAGGAGGAGCGAAGAGACGGCACGGTTAGCCAGCGCCGCGTGTCGAATAGAGAATTACGACGTGGTCGAGTCTAAGGACGAAGAATTAGAGAAACTAATTAGGCATTACAGCACGTTCGACATTACCACGGTTCCGATACCGGGTTGTCCCAGGGACACGCTCAGAGTACTCCTTCGCGAAGGAGATCTGAAGTTGAGAGACGCTGCCAGTAGTAAAGTAAGTAATAATCACGACCAGAATAAGCGAAAAGTCTAGGATTGAGAAAGGATAATGAAAACTTGAATGTCTCTCAGACGGAGGTCCACGTACTATTATTAACGGACATGCTATTGATTTGTAAACCGTCGACCAAGAAAGCCTCGTCCAGTGGTTCGGCTGGCACACTTGGCGGAGGTCTGAAGATAATAAGACAACCGTACGTAATCGATCGAATTCGAATACACGAATTGAAGGAATCAACCAGTTTGGGTTTGATTTATCTGAACGAATACGGAGCGGTGTCAGGTGCTTTAGTTCTTAGCGCTGGTGAATCAAAATTAGCCAAGGTACTGATCTTTAAGAAAATCTAATTACGGTGCGTGTTGACCGTTCCATTTTTTTTCAGTCTTGGATAGAATCGATAAAGAAAGCTCAGCAACAATTCGCGTTAATGAAAGTGCCACCGCTTGGTAGCACCATGAACTTGAGTACGGTCAGTAGACAGCCGAGCACTTTCCTCAGTGACGTTGAATACGAGCAGGAAGAATACGAGGGCATTGTGAAAACACCTCGAGGAAGCAGTAGAGCATCGAGAGTAAGCAGTCTCGCGCACAGTAACAGGTATGGAACGATGTTCTAATTAGACGGTAGACAGGGGAAGAAGCGGATTAGCTTATCAAAGGGATGCGAGTTGGAATAACGAAAGTCGTTTTTCCAGTGGGAGCATAGAGATGGAAGGCGTCTCGCCGGGAAACAGTACCTTCCTGCCTAGTTACAATGCGAGCAGAAATGTAAGCGTTGAAACAAGCGAACCACCCCGAGCTTCGAGCGTATCGTCGGAAGAAGGGGGTGAGAGTTCAGGACACAATCACAGACCTTTACAAATAAGGTAGACACACAGAATGTGACTAGAACGTATTTAGAAAATATCAGATGTTCGTAGAAGTTTCATAAGTTAAATTAAGGAGTCGGGAATCATTATATCATCATATGTAGTGAAACTTCTGCGTGCATCCAACAATTAGCACAACCGTTTAATTGCAATCTGACCGACATTTGACCATTATTTTAGTCCTAACAAATTTGATAATAGACGATATCTGATGAGTAAGTCACCGACGCCTAACACGCTGAGCGTTCAAGTGCCGGCATACTCTAGTTTGGGCCAATCGCTGCCAAACTTGACCCTAGCCACCTCGCCACAAACTTCGACCGTTTCTCCGACACCGCCAAATTCGCTTCTAATTGTACCCCAAATAACAAAGAGCAAGGACACGTTGCTTTCACCAGGGCACCGAGGTAGCAATTACCCACGCGGGAATATACGTTTTTCCATCTCCCTCACCCCTTAGAAGGCTATCTAGATGACCACGAACACCGACGAACTTAGCACTGTGCATGCTTCAAACAAAGATCTTAGGATAGGAAAATACAGAATGTTTAAAAATTAAGGTTTCAAACAAGAAGTTGAAAAGAAACCCTGATTTATTTATCCCCGTTGCACCAATCAATTCTATTGCCCATCCGTAATCTTCCTCGAGTCCTTTTACCAAGAAATTAATTAACGTGAAGTCTATAGCATGATATTGGCATGCAAAAATGAATGTTAGCGAGCGTGTTGCATCGAGGTGTTAACTGAAACAATAATACTAGGTATCTCGTACCCACCACCGTCGCCCCCGAGAGGGGCACTGAGAAGAGCGTTTGCTATTCCTCAGTCACGAAACCCACCTCTCGTTAAAACGAGACACATAAGCACGTCTGTGACGCAAACGATACAGCCTGCGATGACTCTAGACACGGATGCGATCGAAGAGAGACGAAGAAGGTTGGAACCTTCGCACAGGATGCCATCGACTAGTAGCATCGCGGAGGAAAAGGTTTATATAAAAGACGTGCCTCAACGTCTCAATTAAAAACGCTTTTCGAACTTGAAATAATATCTCGTTTTTTTTCTTGCAAGAAGAGCGGCTTGGGAACGGCATGTTTTTGTTTTAGAAATGACGAGAGCTAACATACAAGAGTAACCTGCCGAAACGATAAATTGCTACGGACCATTTGTATTTGATGAGGGCGTACGGATACAGCATTTTGAGAAGAAAAGAATGTAGATTTCTGTTATCTGTATAAAAGTGCTGCACACACTTTCATTCAGATTCAGAAAATGGTTTGGCAAATACGTGAAAGGATTCAACTTGAGTAAACGTCTCGTACTCCCTGTGCCTACGACACAACTCAAGCAATTTTACAATCGGTAAGCGCGGAACATGTTCGAGCTCTGTTCAAAGGGAAATGTAAGCAAGTGTGATCCTAACTTTGTTTCAGATTGGGGCCATTCGAAATCAACGTGAAGTTTGTACCACGACCGTATCGTCGTAACTAATTTGAATTCTAGCCGTGTAACTCCTAGATCTCATTTTGTAATTAATTCTTGGCACGGCGCTGGCTGACACGGCCAAGTTTATCAAATATTATTCTAGATCATTCAACTTTCTAAGCGACAAACAGAACAAAAAAGAAAGAGGCCTACTTAGTGTAATCAATATCACGACTATTTATTGTGATTTAAATTTAGATGACTACAATAGTTGGATATAAAATGCCTCTAGAGAAGCAATTTTAAACGCGTTCAAAATTCGTGATAATAAATGACGTAAAAAAAATAAAGATACGAACATTTAGAAGCGAAAATTCACGCGTAGGGTAAACTCACACTTTATGTAGAAAAAACAAAAAATTTGAGAGTAAATACGCTGTCCCTCGTATAAACTTCGATAAAATATACGATTTACGAGTGTGGGAGAAAAAGCGTGACATAAAAAAAGACACATTTACTCTAAGTACAAATTCGACTTCATAATATTTTGTTCATGAGACTGAACTGGATAGACGGACTATTCGATGAAGACGTCACCTAACTAGAGACAACACACACACACACACACATACACAGAAAGAAAACGAGAGCAATGATTTTATACGAGCTCCTTTGCGTAAGGTTTCTTTCAACTCCCTTCCCTCATCCCCCCAAAAAATGTATGCAGCTTGCATTAAGCTTGAAATGTTAAATTACGATTAAACAAGTATTGATTGTGCATGTATGTACGATCGTTCACGATTAAGCGACAAAATATAGTATGTAAATAATTTATTAATCAATTAACTAGTTTAATGCCCAATCGAATTCCCCTTTCCTATATCTTCCTACGTAATTTTCTGACAGTGAAATATATAACAATCTGCTTTATTGATTTTATTAATAATCTTTTGAATTCGCCGCACGAGATGATACATATAGTTTATTTTTCGCTACTTAATTCATATTTACTTTATTTCTTTACAACGACTTCGCAGGGAATTATATGTACAAACGTTTTTGAGATCTTTGATATATCAGTTTCAGTCGCTCGATTCAGTTTTCGCATTCCGTTTACCTATACACATACGCGCACGGTGTTGAGGATTTTTAGAATACTGTATCATACACTTACGTCAGCAATCATTCGCCATGTCCTGGCACGTTCGAGCCTCGCTGCGTTCGTCGGCCAGTGCCTCTACGATGTCTAACAGAAGCTCTCGGCTCAGTTGCTTTAACCTTGGAAGCCTCGCGACCTGCAATAATTTATTAGAATAGATTTTCTGGTAGAAGAATGAAATCGAAATATCACTGCAATATGTACCTTCGTAAAGTGATGCACAATGAGATTCAACGCGTACTTCTTCATGTCAACAGCTTGCATTCTGTCCGCCGCCTCCAGGATCTGTATCACGTTTTCGAATGTGACATTCATCTCGAGGTTCTGCTTGCAAAATGTCTGCAATCGATTATTTGTGAAACCGTAAAAAACCGGCGCAGTGAATAAATACAAAGAGTCTTCAGGTGGCATTGAGACATCCGCATAGTAGATGTACCTCAATAATGAGTCGAAGGACTCGGAAGATGGAATCATTTCACCGATTTGTATCTGTAAACAAAAAATTTGCGAGTTTTCTTACTTTGCATTTAATTATTCCGGAGAAATGATGTTCAAAGATCAACAACTCACGTTTACTGTATTATTTTCCGGCATAAAAGAACGGAACATGCCTTCGAAATAGGTACACCGTGCCGCGAGAATGGCCTTATGAGCTGGAATCGGCACACCATCTAACATTAAAGTTATATCACAGAATTCTTTTCCTACACTCTTCAGAAATGCTTCCATGTCCTGTACCAAAGTTGTTCCTACAATAAAAAAAAACAAATTTGAATATTTAGTCACATGGACAGACTATATTGTACAGTCATACCTGCACTGAGATTACATTGTATAGGAAAGGCTCCTTTCTGAGGCTTCTGCCTCTTTCGAATAATTTCCACCATTAACGGCTGATCCAAGGTTTCAAATTCTTTACTCATTACGATCTCGTTGTAATTGATTTCTTTTACAATAAAGCTAAGACAGAAGTCCTTTATGAAATATAGCTTCAATTGGGCAGCGTTGTGCAATGCTTCTAAAACATTCGCGTGACTTATCGTCCTTTTCAAGTATTGAACACATAACTGCTCCAGGCGTTTCATGTTGAATTGCAAAGCTAAACGATATACGTCCATCATGAGTAAAACAATCCTATTGCTTAGCGGATCTTCTACACGACTACTCGATCCATCTTCGCCTTTCTTCGTCGGATCGATTCGATCGGTGTAAATGTAATTTAAAACCATTTCAAATGCCTCTGGTACAGCATCTTTCAGTCTCACCTAAGTAACATTAGGACAATTTTATAATTTCATCGTGACTAAGGAAAATAATATAGATAATTTACCTCTAATAATGGCATTTCTTTGACCGGCACGTCCGCGGTACCGGACACTTCCTCCAAGTATTTATCGCGTTTCTCTCGAGCTTGTCTGATCCGGGTTCTAAGGAACTGGGAACGAGCTGCTACCATGGCTATATGAGCGGGTATCCTCGTTTCTGTATCTCCTACAATGAATTCTACATCACAGAACAAGCGACCGTTCAGGAATCTCCCGAAATCGTCGTCCAAGGTGCACTTTGGATAAGACGAGAACTGGAATCTGTACGTTTCGCTAGATCGTACGTTATTGTCGACCGTCCCGCCAAAGATGAACATTGCCTCTCCGATCACCGCGGCCGCATGATACACGCGACCGGACGGAACCTGACTATCAGGGGATGGCAAAATGACGTTCCATGTTTGCGTGTCGAGATCGTAGCAATGAAGATCGTTAGGCAACGTAGAATCAGCCGCGCCGCCGAAAACGTAAAGGTGTCTATCGAAGCTGACCATAGTGTGGCCGTATCGTCGCGGCGGTGGAGGAGGCGCACCACGGAGAATATGTTCCGTCGAAATTCGCGTCCATCGTTTCTCTCGAAAATGAAATTGGAAGAGACTGTTCGTGATCTTGGCTCCGCTCTGGCCGCTAAATACAAACATGGATTCACGCGCTACTGCTACAGGAAAATTGCAGCATGTCGGCGGACAATCACCAGATTGAACAACTTCCTCCCACACTCTCGATTCCCCAGGCTAAAACGAATGAAGAGTAATAAATGTTCCGATACTATCTCAAGTACGCTGCGTCGAAAAACTTACCAGTAACGATATTGTCCACATATCATTTAATCTTGCGTTGCCATCATAGCCGGCAAATATCCATAATTTATTATCATACACTGCTGCTCCGTGAGCAGATCTAGCTACGGGAGTTCTACAAAGAAATTGCAAAAGTTATGTCGCTCTCATGCGTGCCAAAGACGGTTCTAAAGAACAACCAGATATAAAAACGAATCAAATGAAACAGTTAAATAAAACATACTTTCCAATAAACTTCCATTCCGTCCACTGGCCGGTTTGAAATCGATATTCGAACAGGTCATTTTTATTGGTAAGATTTGAATTGGAATGTATATCGCCGGTGTAACCACCAAATACGAACATAGAAGAATCATGCACAACTGCAGAATGATGATAACGAGGAGCAGGAGGTGCTCCTGTTGCAAATGCACGTCCCCAGGACTTCTCTTTCACATCAAATCTCAACAAGTCATTCAACATTCTTGTACCATTATCACCACCAAATACATAGATCGCATCTTTGTATGCTACAACAGTGTGTTTGCTACGCCTGTGTATAATACAATACAATTGTGAATTGTTGGAATAATGCATTTACAAAGCTCTTGCTAATGTAACATTTAATAATAACAGGAGAACAAGATTCAACTAATAAATCATAATAATTAACTACTAGTGGTATTTGAAAAAATTATATTAGAGGTAATAAAAATTCTGGACCATTTGGGTGTAATTTATGTACATAGAATTTTTAATAATAAGTCTTTGGATAAAGATAAGAATTAAATGAAAAATTGAAAATGCTGGAAATGACTGTGATACTGAGTATGAAAATTTAAAGTAACTGTTCGAGTGGCAATGGGAATTAATTAAGTATACCTGGCGCCAACGAATTCATCGCATTCTGGCATTTGCTGCCAACGATGGACAGTTTCAAAAGGACCAAAATCAAGCGTTAAGCACTCTGCGGTTGCAACGTTATCCATTTTTTATTATCTCAAACGACGGCAATTACTTTAAGAAACTCATTGTTAACCTATTCATTAGTAATTCATGATTGTTCCTCATTCTTTGAGACATTCATCAAAAAGAAATAAATCTGAAATCGCGTTTAAAGTCAAGCTTCAATAATGTTACATGATATTTAATAAATCCTTTTTATTACCTAAAGATCCTGTGGACTATCTGCTGACGGCAGAACTGTCAAAATAGTCCGGTCCCATTGATCGGGTAAATTACAGTCAAGTACAAATGCGCACGACAAAATTTACAAGTGTTTATTTCATGTGATCGACATTATATAAAATCGTGTCTTATAATATATCCATGGCATTCACGATATCACTGAAAAGTCACCCTGGCACTCAGGCACAACTCAGGCTCAGGAATCTGATGCTGTCAAACCTGGCTGACCTAACCCCACAGACATAAACGTCCCCCTAACTGCCCCTACACCTACACTACCAGGTAGACACTCACGTAACTGCGGTGTGTCACCAACACATGCACAATCACTAGGGACGTGAAACCGTGAAACTCGGTGAAACCAGTCCTTCCAAAATCTTTGAAGCAGAGTGTGTCATTATCATTTCACATGAATGCTAATGATCTTCGCGTGTAAATGTATCATGAATCCTGTAAACAACGTGCGCACAATTGGAACGATGTGAGGTGCATGTCACGCGGTGAAGTGATAACACGCGCAAGGCAACGTGCGAGCACGCGGACTTGAGAAAGTCGGTCCTACTTTTCGGTATTTTCGTCAAAGAAAACAATAGCCAGGAAGAATGATACCCAATGCACTGCGAAACGGGCGAACGATATTTTGGATCGGTTGCACTTGTATTGGGACGTACGTCGCGTACCGGTACTGGAAAAAGCGAGAGCTTCTAGCGATAGATGAAGGTTTCGAAGAGGTTTCGAAGGTTAGAGGCCGATTTAAATTGATTTGGCTCGATGAATCCTCTTTGTGTTCGTGATTCATTTCTGAGTTCGTACATTCGGCTACAGTTATTACCACTTTCCTTTTATAGATGGACGATAGTCAGGAGAAACGTGTGCTGTTGTTGGGTTTAAATGGAGCTGGTAAAACTTCTATTGTAAACCAAATATGTGTTGCGAATGGCGATGAAAAGTTTTATACTGCTCCCCCAAAACCAACAGAAGGTTCTTGTATATATAGAGTTAAACATGGAAATATATTTTACAATATTTGGGACAGTATGTAAATTTAACTACTAAGACAAAGGAAGGAACACTGTTCAAATATGTAATCAACAATTCCTTTTATTGCTAGTTGGAGGCTCAGATTCCACTAGGAAGTATTGGACTGCTTTTCTGCAAGACACAGATTTATTATTGTTTGTAGTAGATGCATCAGATGTAAACAAATTAGCTTCAGCTGCTTTCATTCTCAAACAGTTGTTAAGTGATGCAAGGATGGATGATGTACCAATTTTAGTAATTGCTAATAAACAGGTAAATGTTTTTAGGAATACCCATTTAGAAGCTGACGATATCTAATAAATTTTATGTGTAAAATCAGGATTCTCCTAATGCACTGCAGCCCGAAGAAGTTAAGAAAGCTTTAGATTTATTAAGTATCTCTCCTCACAAGCATAAGGTAGAAGTAATTGGATGCGAAACGAGACCATTACCCGTAATGTCACCAGAAACAACGGAATATTCTTGGTACCATGCATCTATAGATTCTGTTAGAAAAAAGATATTTCAAATGGCAAAAAATAATGCGTCCGGTCCTTTGTTTTGTTAAAAATAACTCTTTACATAAGGAAAAAAGAAATGAAAGGAAAGAACAGTATGCTTAACTTGCTATACTGTGTATGATTTTTTCACCAAATTGAGAGCACAGATTGTTTAAAATGAACATTTTCATGAAAAATAATTGAAGCTTTAAGAAAACAATACAAATAAAATACATAATTTTTTAAGGGTTTCTCAGTATGATATGTTTACAGTCATTTAACTTTATTACACTTTTTATACTGCTTTTTTCAGCTTTTATATATATATTTAATAAATTATTTATTTACCTCATGAATCATACTAAATATTTCTCTCTTATTCTTTTTTCTTCTTTATGCAGCACGCATAATATATATTTAATACAATTTTTGTAATTAATATATACAATAAGGATACAGAGATTATATTTCGAAATAAAAATCTATTTTAATGTTTCATGATGTATAATAGTAATACACTTAAAGACACGTATGATGCTCTATTTCTTCATGTACAAGTTAATATTTTTCTTTCTTAATGTTCTTATCTAAGCCATGCAGAATTAATTGATTTATTTGTCTTACATATATTCAAATACTTTATATACAGAAATTTGTATCAAAATAAAATATACCTGTATTGAAATGAATAACTAGCTAGAATTGTTTTGTTCAGTTTTGCTCTTAAGGTACTCATTGTACTGCTCAGGAATGTTTTTAAATACTTTGATTTTAGCACGTATCTGCTTCCAAGTCAATTGATTATAATTCTTTCTGTCTAATGCCATAGCCTACACAGTTGATTCAATAATAAGTAACATTTTATTTGTGTAAAATAAATTATCGTTAAGAAAGGAACATTACCTTATAATCTTCCCCATGCTTGTCCATCAAATAGGTGAGGAAATTCACTTGGCTATTCGGTAGCCTGAACATCCTCTTTCTTGGTGCCTTTGCCTCTGCTTCTAGCTCTTCCGCTACATGTACTTTTGCAGGCACCATTTCAACGTCATGTTCTTCATTTTGTGACTGATCTTCAGCATCAGTAATCTTCCAATTTTTAACATTCTTAATGATATCTTCTCTAACATTGGGTACCTTTAAAACCTCGTTTGGATCGTACGCTAAACCCATTTCTTTTAAGTTAGTACGGGTGGATTTCGTTACTTCCCACGACTTTTTTATTTGAGAACTGCGAACAACATTTTATTTATACAATTATTTGTAGTTAACAAGAAAACCTGTGCTTCATCGCATCGGTACGACGTGTCTTTATGGTTATATTTACCACGTTATTGTCGGCAGTTTAGTTGACTTATTCCGCAGTCGTTTACGATTTACATTCATGCGGAATTTCTTCCTACGTTTCACTTTTCTTATTTTCGTCATAATTATGATCCTAGATTACCACGTGTTTTCGGATTATATTTTTTTACTTCCGATACACGTGCGTTATACACCTCACGCTACGCAGCGCTTCCTCACCCAGCCTCACCTACAATGTTTCATGATTTCGAACGCCTAAGGGTTCAGAAGTTCTTCCAGAAACAAAGATATTTGTACGTACATTTACTTGAACCCAGATTACGATTCCGATGTCGATCATCGATCATCATTCATTGTACGCTGCTGACCTCAAAATAACAGTGCCTTACAATTAGTACACGATCGAAAGTTCTTTTATAAAGCGCAATAAAGTTCGAGCACGTTTTTCATTGTTGTTCCACGGTCTTTTGTTATCATTTCCTATTGGAATACGATTTCACAATAGCCATTAAAAAGATCGGATACTCGAGAACTTTTAAATATGTTTCATATGCGATGAATAATATAGAGCAATTTTATTGGCATTTGTGATTTGATTTCATTAATGAATGCAATGTCCCGTGTGTTTAATAATATACGATTTTCCTCGCATCAATTATTATGGAAATGGTGAATGTGCTAATTTAAAACGAAATAATGAAAAACAAATCGAAACCTCATTTATTCATTATCTTTTGCAAATAAACTCTCTCCATAACAGCTAGCCGATACATTGTTTACCGCTTTTTTCGAGGTGCAATTAGGTAGAGCGAAGTAATAGGGCAATCATTTAATTTAAAAATGTATATTTACCTCGTAAACATTTTAATTTATTTATCATTTAATATTACAAACAATAAATTGTTTCATGCCGAGAAAATGTTTTGTTAACTATAGAGCAGGAAAGATGGATGGTGGAATAATAAATGGTATAAATACAATTAATATCACCTATACTTAATTGTACGCCACATTTATTGTGTACTTCTACACTCGTACAGATCGTACATCTGGCATCCAATTTTATTGCTCTGATTTTATGAAATTATTCAAACATTTATCTACAAATATCGAGTAAGATCGTCTTATTGTCCCTTAAGTCTACGATGGATCATTCCGACCATCAATAAATACTTCAATAAAGTTCATTCAAGATTTTAACGTGGACGAACTTAATCGAAGTAACAAGGTGCACGTTCTTTATAATCTTCAACTCTCCAAAATCTCGCAGAAGACTGAAATCTTGTTCAGACTCGAAGAATTCAGAGAAGTCAAGATTTAACACCTGGCACAAGAAATCAAAGGGTTAAGACGCGCAGTCGTGAATTTACCAAGCGTAGCTGGTGCCAAGACCGTTGAAGACGGTGTGGACAACAGGTGCGGCCGCTTCGTAGCTGTAAGCCTTGGAGTACAGTGCAGCCGAGGGAGCAGCAGCGTATGTCTTGGTCAAAAGTGGAGCCTGGGCGATAGAGGTAGTATACGCAGCTGGGGCGATGGAGGCGGTGTATGCAGCCGGAGCGATGGAGGCGGTGTATGCAGCCGGGGCGATGGAGGCGGTGTACGCAGACGGGGCGAGCAGGGCACTCTTGGCGTAGACCGGAGAATGGGCAGCGTATTCGTAACTCTTGGTCAAGAGAGAAGCAGCCGGTGCAGCGTGTAAGAAGGAAGCAGCTGGTGCGGATTGCAAAAGAGGAGCTGAGTAGGTTTTGGCGTAGAGTTGAGCTGGTGCGGCGATGGCAGCCTTGGCGATCAGGGGAGCTGGTGCGGCGATGGCAGCCTTGGCGATCAGGGGAGCTGGTGCGGCGTAGCTCTTGGCTAACAGAGGTGCGTTATAAGGGAGAGCATAGGATTTGGCCAACAAGGGTGAGCCATAGCTGTACGGAGCGGCGTAGCTCTTTGCGATGAGAGGTGTCGCAGTCGGGGCGAGGTAAGTCTGAGCTGCGTAGCCAGCTTTCACGATAGGAGCGTAGTTCAAGTAGCCGTCGTTGCTGATGCTCTGGCTGCTCACGCGGACGAACGAGTGTGCAGAATCGTCGGACTTGCTGTAGGAGGAGATCACGTTCTGACCGCCGTAGCCCTTCTGCGTGGACTCCTGGCTGAAACCGATGCTGCTGAGGTCGCCAGAAGACGATGCGATATTGTACGCCGCTGGACCACCAGCACTGGCTAATGCCAAACAGGCTGCGAGTACTACAAACTAAAGGAAAATTTATTATACATGTATACTCCGTAGGAAATAAATCAGTTTTGCGAAAACAAACTCTCGATCATAAAAAATCTTGAGCATTCAATGAAAGATCAGAATATTAAAAAGTCTTTTACATAAAAGAGACCAAGAAATGAAAATAATTATTTTCAAGTAATAAATGAAGCTTTCTTCCAAGGAACATTTTTATTATTTCGTATCAACGACTTTCACGAGAGTACGCGTTCACAAAGAAACTTACCTGAAATGCCATTTTGCTTTTTGAGTGAACAAGTTGCTGACTTCTGACAAAATTCGAAACTCGGCCCAGTATTTATATGCAGTAGATTGCAGGGGGATCAATCGAATTTTCGGTGCCACTACACCCAATGGGATTGGGCAGGGCTGATCGAGGGAGAGGGAAACTGTACCATGAGACCTTTTTCTCGTTCGAAAGGAATCATTAAGAAAGAAGGATGGAAAGTAGTGAGCAAAAGATAGTTAAGGGGGACATGGACACGTCTGGCATGATTCGCTAATTTGGTAAGCGCAACTTATCAATTGATCGACTTAAATATTTGTTTTAAAACAACGTATAGATTTCTATGCTCTAAAAACAGTTTTATACGCAACGCGATGAAGTCAAATTAATGAAATTTATTGCAGTAACATTACTGTCATAAAATTTTCCTATCAATTAAATACTTGTTTCCTCATACATCCTGTTTCCAAAATCATTGATATCATCTAATATTGCACTGATTTTTATCTTTTAATTAGTCGTTATAGTTCTAAAAACTTGCCTTCCAGTGAATTTTGATACTATCTTCATTTTTTAATCATGTCATTTTTAGTAATTGAGAAATGTAGCATTCTTTTAAAAAAGGCTAACAATTAAGAGATTTCTGTCAATATGAGGATTACAAGCATTGAATGTAATGAAGCGTGTTTTATTTTATTTGATCCTCATTGCACATTACCGTCGATATTTTTCACGTAACACCTTTGGTGAAGGTGCACATTTATCGGATTCCATGTGAGTGGCCTTTTTTCAAGTTACTCGACTTATCCTTTATTACATAAAAAGAATGTCCTACGTCACATAAGGCGTTTACCCTTTTTTTCGCCTTATTTCTTGGCCTTCTCCTCATTTATGTAACGCGAGACATATACCAATGTCGTGATATTGTAAAACTCGTCAAGGCCACACTTTCTCCAAATTGTGGCACTGACACATAATACCATACGCGTTCAGCCACCGGTTCCACGCAACTTTTGCACGTGTGTCGGTGATCGAGTTACAATATTAGGTGGAGTCTGGATGTCCTGCCCCGGAGGTGAATAGTTTTGCGTAGCGAAACGAAATAGGTGTGTCAAAGTCGCAACCCCGAAGCGATTCGTCATGACGTAATTTCAAGTTCCGATCCAGATTGCACCTACAGCGTTATTAATTTAATGAAATGCCACGCCATTTGGAAGGAGACTTTCTTTTTTACTTTTCGACATTTAAAAACGTGAACTATTAACGCAGCTTTCTCTATGAATAGACTTTTCATTCTGATTCATTTCATTCCACGAAATATTTTCTTTAATATCTCTGTCTTCGTTAGTCTCCTTGGTTCATCTTGCCTGCTGACACTTGGTGTATTTGTCGAAGATTGATTTTCCCTCTTCATCCACTCTTCAATGCGTTTTTTTAGCGCTCGGTCGCGGTCTTCGTCGGCTAAGGAAAAGTCCGTAAAAATATTGTCGATCTTGATCTCCTGGTCGCAAGGTCGATCGAGCGAGTAGCTCTGAATCTTCTGAATCGCTTGCGTGAACCAATACGGTTCGGGATCTTCGACGGGAATCGTTGCTCTTCTGATTACTGGCATTTCATCGTCAGAGTCTTCTGATGCTATCGATGAATTATCGAAATCTGTGGACGTCGATGGCTTTCCTAGTCCTCCAAGACCAAAGTTTTGCATTTAGCAATTGTATTCCTGGAATCGCTAAACGACTCACCTGTTCTGTCAAGATCGTTTAGGGTTCTCATAGAATCTTTGCTAACAGCTGAATAGGAAGGTACTGGATCGTAACCACCAATAGTTTTATATCTGATATAAAGATTTTTAAGAATTTTTGAGGTACGCGGTGATAACGTTTTACTTTTGATTAACCGTTTGGTCATTGCAAGATATTCTTCTATTGGTGTTAAATATCTCGACGAATCTATTACGGAACATTGCAATTTATGTCTACAAAAATAACTCGGATTTCCTCTATTCTATTGGACTTCAATTCACCTGCAGGAGTGTCGGATATTCTTTCGGAATTATCAGTGAAAAATTTATCAATATCGTGATTTACTACTTCAGCCAGTTCCGTGGGTTCTGTGATCTCATCACTCCAATGTGATGGTCTGGGAGGTCGTCCTGTCCCAGTATCATCTTGCATTATTTAACCACTTAGCACTAATTTCTAATAAAAAATATAATGGAACATTTTTATAAAAGTAACTTATGTGCTAGGTTACATAAAATTTATTTATTTCGACTGTCACTTGGTATTGTTTCACATGAAATACCTCTTTTATTCAAACGTGTTTCCTTTTGTAAAAAAGTCTTATTTTTAAATGTTTATATAAATATTTAAAAAAATAATTCGATTGTAAAAATATGCAAGAAAAAAAAACAAAACAGAAACTCGACGAGGATGGGATTCGAACCCACGCGTGCAGAGCACATTGGATTAGCAGTCCAACGCCTTAACCACTCGGCCACCTCGTCACATGAACAAGTAGTATTTAAATGCACCTGTTATACGTCAATTAATTTAATTCAATAAAAATACCTTTCACTTTCGGAGTCATTGAACACATTTTTTATTGTCCACTGTGCGCTGTGGTATATCGTAGGAAGTACAATTGCATCTGTTCCGTATCCTATATGCATATTTATGTATGTACTCGATACGTAATCGTGTTACATAATTAAAAGCGAGGCACGTATTTATACATAGCCTACTGTACTAGTTCTACTGTAGATTCGTTCTAATTCATACGAATAGAGATTCGTAATTTATTGCACCATCCGAAGCTCTTGATTAAATGGATAGTATGAAAAACATGTTGAGCACTCGTCTCCAAGCAACTCTTATCGCATTTATTTTCTTTTGAGTTCGTAAATGGTAATCTATTCAAATATATTGCAAGTTGTGTTCGGTACATGCAGACCTTGTAATAGTACAATTATAAGTACTATGATAAGCTGTTTTGTCTTTTATTCTGTAAACTGCGGGTAGTGGAATATGGTGCTTATATATCTGTCTTGTTAGGTAATCATTCACGTACTGACTTGTCAGTATTGCACTTGACAATGTAAATTTTATTAGTCCACATTACCGTATGTTATAGAAAGCTCGATATGGAAGACACAGTACATTTAGGAGTATCGTATACTTCGACATACGATGAAGAACTCACGAAACGACTCGAAAATGATTTCTCAAGGACCGAGGGTAAGTGACAAATAGTTTTTAAATATTTTTTAATCATTGTAGATCGCGCAGACGAATGAAGAGGGGAGAAAATCGATTTCTCGCTGTTCAGATAAAATATTTTTTTCGTCGTTCAATTTTTAGAGGAGTGTTACCTGGACCACGCGGGTGCGACACTATATTCCGACACGCAAATAAAACATGTTGCTTCCGATTTGCATAATTCGCTTTACGGCAATCCGCATTCTATTGGGAGTGCAAGTAACGTGACTCAAGATATCATTGAACGCATGAGATATCTGTAAGACTTTAAGTAGATAAATATTATTGTAGGATCTAGGTCAAGTTTGATAATGATTTTGATTCATTCAGAATTTTAGATCACTTTTCTGTATCTCCCGATGAGTACAGCGTGATCTTCACATCAGGCGCGACTGCAGCCTTGAAAATAATAGCTGACACGTTCGTCTTTAGTAATGATGAAAAAAATAAGTCAGGACACTTCATTTATACGCAGGATAATCATACTTCCGTTGTTGGTATGAGAGAAGTTTTCGCAAAAAGGGGAGCAAAAATAATGTGCTTGAGACACAATAATGCCTTTGAAATATTCAATTCTCCCTTGAAATCTAAGAGCTCTTGTTCACAAGAGAGCAACTCATTATTTGCTTATCCTGCCCAGTGCAATTTTTCTGGTTTAAAGTATCCTTTATCGTGGATTAAAGACGTACGTAATAACGCTCTCTCTAATATAATTTCCAATACATCTACAAAGTGGTACGTTTTACTTGATGCTGCTGCTTTCGCAGCAACAAGTAAACTGGATCTCTCTATCTACAAACCAGATTTTGTCTGTCTATCATTTTACAAAATGTTTGGATATCCTACTGGTATTGGCGCATTGTTAGTAAAGAATTCTAGCGCAGAAGTACTTAACAAGGTTTATTACGGCGGTGGGACCATAGATGTTTCTTTGACTACTGAATTATTTCACATAAAACGGAAAGATCTCAGTTCAAGGTATAATCAGAATTATTCTCGGAAATTCGATCATCTCAATCAGAATTGCAATCGCACACTTCAAGAAAAGTTTAAAATAATCTATCTTATCGTGTTACAGATTTGAAGATGGTACTCTACCATTTCTCTCTATAGTTTCCTTGAAACATGGTTTTGATATATTGTCATCTATCACGATGGAGAAAATATCAAAGCATGTATTTTCACTTGCAAAATCATTGCACAATTCATTGTTGATGCTCCACCACAGTAATGGGAAGCCAGTTGTTAAACTGTACTCTGACACTGATTATGAGAATCGTGAGATGCAAGGGGGTATTGTTGCATTTAATCTTATGCGTTCTAATGGTGAATATGTGGGATACATGGAGGTATTGAGCATGGCAGCATTGTTCAAGATACACCTCAGAACTGGTTGCTTCTGCAATCCAGGTGCTTGCCAGAGGCATTTAGGATTATCGAATACAGAAGTTCTTCAAAACTATGAGGCTGGATATGTTTGTGGAGGTGCTGCAGATTTAATAAATGGCAGACCAACAGGCGCTATTAGAATCTCATTTGGATACATGTCCACGATCAAAGATGTGCAAACTTTATTGCTTATGATTAAACAATCGTTTGTGGATGGTTCACCAATATATAAAATTCCAGATTGGTGGCTAAGCCACAAAACACTCTTACATGCAAAGTATTATCATAACGATGCGAATGTAAAAAGTATAACAAGTAATAATGAACAGGAGATTACAAACAAGTTACAAACAGTAAAGGAATCACTAATGCACTTAATCAATGAGAATCCATTCTTTAAATTGACCAAAAATACTACTGTTAAGAAGAAATGCATTTTGGAGCAATTGTACATATATCCAATAAAATCTTGTGCTGCTTATAAGATAGCAGATTCTTGGAGTTTAAATTCTAAGGGATTGCAGTATGACAGAGAATGGATGATTATTTCATCTGCTGGTACTTGCTTGACGCAAAAGCAACATATCAATCTCTGTTTACTGAGGCCAGTTATATTTAAGGACAAAGGAATAATGCAGTTACATTATCCAGGTAAAAATTTAGTCCGCTGTTCTTGCGAATAAAACTAATGTAATCAAAATATTTTAGATATGCCTTCGATAGACGTTTCGTTAGACAATAATTCTATAAATACTATGGAGGGAACAGTATGTCAAAGTAGAGTTTGTGGACACAAAGTACAGGGTACTGATTGTGGTACAGATGTTTCCGAGTGGTTGAGTTTAGCAGTAGGATTACCAAATTTAAGGCTCATAAGACAAACTGACAGTGACAAGGAAAAGAAAGGTACTTGATGGAATTATAAAAATGATATCTTATCGTCTGATTACATTTTTTCTTTGCAGGAAGCAATAAACCAGAATTATCGTTCTCTAGTCAAGCTCAATATTTATTGATAAATAAAGCAAGTGTATTATGGCTCAGTGATAAAATATCTAACACAGAAGTTAAGAAGGACACTATTATACACAGATTCAGAGGAAATATGATACTAAGTAGCTGTGAACCCTTTGAAGAAACAGAATGGAAATATGTTACTATTGGAAAGAACAATTTTGTGGTATGTCTAAAATATGAAATAAATGAGATATGATTCTTTGATTGATAAATTTTCTCTAGGTGGCTGGACCATGTACAAGGTGTCAAATGATTTGCATTGATCAAACCACTGGTTTAAAGACAGTAGAACCATTGCGTACACTTGCAGAACATTTTCATGGAAAATTAAAGTTTGGTATATATTTAACCAAAGAAAGTACAGAAGATGGTATTCTTAGTATTGGGGATACTGTTCAAATCTCGTAATTGAATGTGTAATGTCGTTATCAGTTAAAAAAAAGTAAACATATTCCCTTGTGAGGTTATGCAGATACCAGGCTCTGAATATTACGAAACGAATAATATGTTATACAAACCGTGTTCATAAACACTTGGTATTAGCATGTACGTTAATCTTCCAAGTATTTATTTGAAAATTTATACGAAAGTATAACAATTCATATCTCGATCTCGATACATATAAAATGCTTCACAGCTGCCAACGTTCCTACGTAACGCCAAACTTCATTCAATTTATATTATTTAATACTATTTTATCTTAAATATAAAATCGACATTCCTTTGTAACATTAAATATACAGAGTATATGCATTTAATGGATCTAAATGCATTAAATCTAAAAACGCCCAGAATTCGAATTGTTTTATATTCTTTAACTATACACTTACCCCACATAATAAATTGCGATAATAATAATCGGGTATTTAATTTTTAAATCTAGGAAATAGGATTGTTTAATTCTTTACTTGGTTTATTATAAAATTATAGCTTCCTCTGCCAGTTTCCTTCGTCAGCTTTGGTAGTACTGCAACTATCAGCAGTTTCCGTGGGCATCGTGTAGTTCCATGCGCATCTGTGCAATACGTCACTGTGTAGGAGGTTCGGCATCGTTCAGCATTGTTAAATATCCAGCAAGCTGTTGAACGTCGCGAGCCTCATTTGTTTAACTGTGATCGCGGAAGATAATCATTTGCGATAACGCGCGGTGTTATCTAACGTATGTACGAAATCCGAAATCCGCGGAACCTTTTGAAAATCGTATACGTAGGCAACAGGTGTCTAATGTCGCACATGTATTGCTTTGACAGTGGCTACGAGACTAAATAATCGAACCCACGCGCGATTACGACAATCTCTCGAATGCAATTTATCAAATTTCGAGTGATGATAGAAACGATCGATACATTTTTATATCGAGGCACGTCCCTGTTTTAATAAGCTCCGATCCGCGATAACAGTGCGCGATAATCGTGTATCGTAATCGGTCGCGAAAATGGAATACGATTATCTAATTAAGTTCTTGGCTCTCGGAAACTCGGGTGTCGGAAAAACGAGTTTCCTTTATCAGTACACCGACAGCATGTTCGAGTCCCGCTTTAATTCTACCGTCGGGATTGATTTTAAAGAGAAACGTGTGGTAAGAAAATTACTCCATCATTAGAGTTTCATTAGATTATTACAGTTAAAACAGAATAAAACTCATACTAAATTGGTGTAATTTACCATGAATATTTTAATAGTAGTATAGTAGAAAGCATGAATGTAAGTAGGTTTTAACACATGTACATATGTTGCTACTTACGAGCCAGAATAATTAATTATTACAGGCATATCAGACGCCAAATGGTAGAACACAACGTGTGCACTTACAGCTGTGGGATACAGCTGGTCAAGAGCGGTAACATTTGCTATAATAATATGTTTGGGAATTTGCATTTCAATAGTAATCATGCATATGAAACAAGTCTTCTAGTTTCCTTTGCAAATTGTTTTATATTTCAAATGCTTTAGACGATATAATTTATTTTTTAATACATAGAATAATAAATATATTCATAAATACAAGCTTCAGCAAGTATTATAGCATTTTATAAGAGAGTATTGTTACATTTCATGCAAGTGCTTCAATAATATTAATATTCAGGTTCAGAAGTCTAACTACAGCCTTTTACCGGGATTCCATGGGTTTCCTTCTAATTTTTGATCTGACCAATGAGCTGTCCTTTCTTGAAGTTAGAAATTGGCTGGAACAGCTTAGGGTACTCGTCATTTATTAACATTATCTATGTAATGAACGATGATTTGAGTAAAGATCTGTCTATAATAGCAAGAATTACATATTGATGTCTTGATTGGTTTCATATGTTGCATGATGAGAATTCAAGTAGTACTAGTAATGGTTATTTTGGTGTAGTAGAGAAAAGTTCAATATATTTTGCATGGAAATTAAATCACTAATTACATTATCTGCATGCATTAAACAAATAATTGTAGGTAAAAGAGTAGTAGTAGACGTAACAGTAGATGACACATTTTTTTATTAAATAAATGTTCTTTACAGTTTTTTTTCTATTCTGCGTTGCGTAAAAGCTCAAACTGTCGTTCGATCGAAGATGCTAAAAAACTTTAGTATAAGTGGTTTTCATTAAATTATCAAATTATTTCCTTTATTATATCTCATTGTGATAGAGCTATATAATTAGAGTTGTCTCGACCTTTGCATCATGGCACGTTTTTATTTCTCGTCGAATTTCGATTCCCTTGTTTGATTCATGTTTGTACACGTGTAGACTCACGCATATTGCGAAGATCCAGACATAATTCTCTGTGGAAACAAATCCGATCTCGAAGACAAACGAGTTGTTAGTGAACATAAGGCACGGGAATTAGCGGAGAAGCATGGGTAAATAATATAGTACACGTCATTCATTATGTTCTTCATTTATCATGCGATTAATTCGTCCTCGTCATCTTCCTCCATGAGATATCATAGAATGAGAAGTTTTATGTTTCCTCTTCTAAAAACCGAAACCGAATTGTCCTTTATAATTTTATGTACCGACCAATCCTAATCCATCGGAATGATCGAAAGTCATCATATCAAATTGTTTCGTCGTCTATAATTATCGATCAATCATTTTATCCCACTCTCGCTTTCTTCCATTTGCACGATCAAAGATTTTCACACGAAATTGTGATTTATATATGAGTTCGAATCAAGATCGAGGATCTCAATGAGTTGTGCTTCTCAGTTTGGTATACCTGGAAACAAGCGCTGCTACGGGTCAAAACGTGGCACGTGCCGTGGAGATACTTTTGGACCGCGTCATGAGCAGGATGGAAACAACCGTAGACAAGTCGCTGCTACCACACCAAAGAGTGTTGCGAT